TTGTTGCATGGACAGGCTTCTCCTTGAATGTCTTTTCCTCTACAGGAGTGTAGGCAGGGGGAGCAAAGGGCAGCATGCCGGGCCAGCCCCCCCCCCCCCCCCCCCCCCCCACCACTTCATGGGAACAAAATGGCAGCTTTTTATCTATTTTGTACGCTAATTTAAAATGTTTTTTCCTAAGTTTTGCAAAATTTAAAAGTAAACATACCGTATTTACTCRAATAAGCTCCCTGGCGCTTATCAAATTTTTCACGTCTAAAACGGGGCGCTTTTCATTCAGGGGAGGTGCTTATTCAATGGAAGGAAACGCATACACAACTGTCAAAGTATGCTTTTCTTTTAATATCAATGTAATACTACTAGTACAACAGTACTAGTATCAGTATACTATAACAAGAGGAAGCGCCCCCTAATGGCTAAAGGCGCTTATTTGGGGGAGGCGCTTATTAATTTTTTTTGTCCAAAGGGGGAGCTTATTTGGGGGAGGCGCTTTTTCGAGTAAATACGGTAATGCTGGTTCCTTCCTTCTTCTTCTTTTTTTTTTTTTTGTTCGGCATTCTGGGAGCCCAAACAAAATGGCAGATGTTTGAATTTGGGCCCCCTTTTTGGAAAATTCTGGCTACACCCCTTTTCTGTCTTGTACAACTCACACTGGAGGCTTTTGTATGGCTTTCTTTGCTTCTTCCATTTGTATCTTGCATCTTTTTAAATCAGCAATAAGCTTCTGGGTCTTTTTATCTAGTTTTGATTCAGGTCTTTTGTCTTTTGACTTTTCTTTTCGATCTCCCTTTTTCTGGGAATCCTTCACCTCTTCCTGCTCAGGTGGGACATCTTCCTTTGAATCTGAATGCAGACAAAAAATAAGCACGCTAATAAATCTGTTGCTAAAATGTTTCCTTTTTTCTTACTCTTTTTTATATTAAATATAAAAAAAGCAACACATATTGTTGCTCAATTAAACATTAAAAGAGATGTAGAAGTGCTTTAAATTGTGAGGGCCTTTCATTTTTCCATTACGCTCACAGCTGTCATTATGATTGTGACTCCCATCCCCTACTGTCCCCCTTTCTCCCTGGAATACAAGGTACACGTTACATCAATCGTGCAAGAATACAAATTACAGCCCCAAGAAGTCAATATTTTAACCAGAGGAAAATACAACCAAGTAATTGTTTGCAGGTTTTTGGACGACCACCGTAGATGAAGAGAGTAAAACGACAAGGCATGCACTTAAATTAATGTTAAATCTCTGAACAACAAGCAACAAGCGATAATCGTGTCACTCTGCAACGATAGCAATATACTTACAGTATACCACCTAGATAAAAACTTGCTCAATATCCTAAACTAATTTGGACTTTATAATACAGTGCAAACAAACCTATAATTAATGCTATATTGATCCCTTCATCTTTTATAAACCCTTAAACCGAGCTATACAAACACTGCTCGAGTATCTTGAAGCCCTGACCTTTTACACGATTTTAGTTCATGCAAAAAAAATGTCCAAAGGARTAAAATGTCATGTGTAGATAGCTCTTTCCCTGCGTTGTCTTATCTCATGGCTTTTTCCACAGCTGGATGACAATTAGGGCAAAAAAATCCCTTGATAAAATATCTTTATACAAATATAATCTCCAAAATGCGATTCCAGCTAGTTCGACACAGATCAAATACAACTCGCGAAGTCCACGAATAATACTAACCTTCCATTGAAGTTATCTGTCCCACAGCCCTTCGTATTTACGTATACTTTCTTCTGGGAAAGAATCACTCTAGAGCACACTGAATATAACAAGACAAAAGGCAGTCCATTAGCCGCGAGTTCTTTAGACCAATTTGAAGCGAGTGAATCAGAAACAAAGACTTCTTCCCTTGTAGGGAGTCATTCAACTATTGTCCTCAGAAATTTTTTTGTTGGTTTAAAGGCTTTAAATAAGATCTCTATGGCATCCATCAAATCTAAAATATCTGGTACTTTACCTGGAGTTATAAAATCGTAGAAATTTAGCAGGAAAAGTCTTGGTCGATTTGTATCTAATTCTTGTATTCGTACACCATTTGTACTTGATGGAGATGGAAAGATACACTCGGTTGCTATGGCGAAGACTCAGACGGCCCATATCAATTTACATATTTTAATAGTGAAATTTGTCCAACCAAAAATCTTTAAATCTAGCTTATCTCACGTCATTAACTATGCGGATTTTATTTGGTAATAAGATTACRGACAAACATAGCTGAAACTTTGTTGGGAGAAGTATTTAGGTATTGAGGGTATTTTTGTTATTACGCAGTGTGAAAATTACTGTATCACATTCTCTTTTGTCAGGTCACAAAATGCAATATCATTACTTCATATTGCATGCTATCGGTGGTTTTGTATAGGATATTATTGGAAGTAATCGAATATTGGAGCACATAATACCGACACCCCCAAAGCGAATATTCTTCTGGTTAAAGAAAAACAGTATTAATAATTCTTACCACTTTAATACAGTCCTCCCCCCCCCCTCTCCATAAGCCCAAGTCTCGTAGCTAGCGTAATATTTAGAAGATCATTATACATGAAGGTGTATATATTCGAATTTTTATCTAAGTATTTAATCTAAGTATTTAATTTTAACCTGAACTATTCGAAATTTTCCTTATTCGAATTTTAACCTGAACTATTCGAAATTTTTTCTCATTCGAAATTTAACCTGAACTATTCGAAATTTTTTCTATTCGAATTTTTATCTTCTAACCGAAATGTTCGAAATTCATGAATTTCAAAAATAAATGTACTGTTTATTTGTATACATCTAGACGATTATCTTTGCGATAGAAATTTTTGAAWACAGGAGCAGGGCGTATTTCAAGCAGTGGGAGGAAACGAGAAATAGGTAAATGATAAGGCTGGCTTCTAAAGGTTCGTATTTGGTCGTGACTGCAGTATGTTTATGAACGAGTTATACCTTTAAAAGTGCAGCGAAATGTCAGTGTAACTTAAAATTGTTTGTATTCTTGATTGTATATTTTATTAGTTTTATGAATATTTTGAATGTTTAAAACTGAGGCTAAGATGCGAGTAAATGATTCTATTCTCGACTTTCACATCCMCATAATCCTTTGCGTCTTTGGRGGGTAACCAGAGGGTAAAAACCCACTTATTTTGCTGAAGGCTGATCAGACAATGTTGAAAATTCCTTGCTTGGTATTCAAAGATAAAATGAAGAAGTAAAAAAGCAGAAAAAGATAGAAGCTTGAAGACGTTTAAGGTAAATGTTAAACATTTTTCCGTAAGTCAATACATTTTCTGTAAGACCAAAATTCTTCATGATCTGTACATGCAAAAATAACTTGGAATAAACTGATAATCAGCATTGTACAGATAAAAGCAGGTATAGTATAAATGCAATTAAGAAACCTTTTAATTTGGGACAGTTTTTTGATTGGTTACCCCCCAAAGACGCAAGGCATTATGGGGATGTGAAAGTAGAGAATAATAAATACACACAGTAAGGTGTCTTCAAGGCTAATTTGATATCTTTATAACTTATTTATTGACAATTAATTTTCATATTCAAACGTAATATTTTAAATTAAAAACTGTGTAGTTTGTAGTATTATTATTATAAAGTCTTTATGTAGCAATTAATTTTCATATTCAAATGTATTCTTTTATAATAAAAATTGTATAGTTTATTGACAATATTTTAAAGTATTATATTTTAAGCTGTTTTTAAAAATTAATTAGGTTATCCAAAAATTACGTTTTTAAAATAGGTAAATCAGTGAATTTCATTTGGTACGTAGGACAAACGTTTCGTTATTCAACTGGTCAAGCCAACTACAGGCAGCCTACATAGCGGGTGGGGTTAGCTTCTCTTAGTGTTTCCTGATATAATCAAGTCAATGGGATCTGATCAACCACAGGTAGCCCACATTGGATCAGTTTCTCTTCACGTTTCCTAATAATCAAGTCAGTAGGATCTGACCAACCACAGGTAACCCACATTGGATCAGCTTCTCTTCATGTTTGCTGATAATCAAGTCAGTAGGATCTGACCAACCACAGGCAGCCCACATTGGATCAGCTTCTCTTCACGTTTCCTAATAATCAAGTCAGTAGGATCTGACCAACCACAGGTAACCCACATTGGATCAGCTTCTCTTCGCGTTACCTGATAATCAAGTCAATGGGATCTGACCAACCACAGGTAGCCCACATGGTTGGTGGGATCAATTTAGCATGCCGTCTCCTTGTTGATCAGTATTTCAAGCGTGCCACATATTTCAGTAAAGTCCAGTCTTTTATTTGGGTTGTCATGGCGACAGTTACTTAAGAGGGCATACCTTGGAATAAAATATAAATATTTTATTTAATAATTCYGATTGGGCGAAATTCGTTTTTGATTGTTCATAGTAAAAGTCACTTGCTTTCCACAGTATCGTTTAAGACACTTGCTGAGTGCGGTTTGGTCTACCTCCAGCCCTTTACCCTGCTAATCCAAACCTACAACCTACCTACCTACCTACCTCCCTCTCTACCTCCCTCCCTACCTCCCTACTTCTCTCCCTACCTCCCTACCTCTCTCCCTACCTCCCTCCCTGCCTAGCTCCCTGCCTACCTACCTCCCTCCCTCTCTACTACCTCGCTACATTCCTCGCTACGTACCTCCCTCCTACCCTCCCTCCCTACCTCCCTCCCTCCTACCCACCTACCTACCTACCCACCCACCTACCTACCTACCTACCCACCAACCTACCTACCTACCTACCTACCCACCAACCTACCTACCCACCAACCTACCTACCTACCGTATAATATAAATGTAGCAATAAATTTACTTACAGGTCGTCTGAGCAATTCAATGGCTGATGCAGTTTGTATCCAGTTTTCAATTTGTCAACAATTTCAAAGGGTTTTATATCAGAGTACGGAACTGAACCTGGAAAACACAAATTGGCTAATGAAATATTCCACCAAAAATAAACAACCCTCTTTTCTTTTGGCCATTCTTTCCTGGCTCCTCTTGTCCTGCCCTCTCCTCTACCTACCGCCATCCCTCGTGTCGTAGCGTTTTCCTCATGGAACCTTTACGTCACAGTCCCTGCATGTAACATTGTGCCAGCCCGTCTCTCCCGGCAATGATTAAAGCGCATTTTGTTTCACTCTATTTTAATGATGCGACATATTTAAAAGAGCTAAACTGAATTGCAGACCTGTGAATTTAGCTTCTGCCATTGTATTTTCGAAGCGGTTTAAGCTTATATTTTTGTCACCAAGGGAAACCAAAAATTCCTCACAGCAAGAAATCCAGAAATCATGAATAAAACATTTAGAGAATAAAACTCCTTACCTCCTGTTTCTATCTCCCATACTAGAGTTCCATATGACCATCTTTTTATATACGAAATAAAAAACATCAAGCAGTGAATAAACTCAAATGATTTTGGGATAGACTTTTTAAAAATTTGTATACACCTACCTCAAAAAAGGTCGTCAGAGCCAAAAGAGAGAAAAGGCAAAAAGGAATAATCCCCTTCACAGTTCCCTGCCCCATCTTGAAAGGTAGCCGAGCCTTTGCATCGAAGCGATACGAACGGTGAGCTTGCGATGATAGAGAGGTGTGAATAATTGTACAAGGTGTTAAAAAAGGTCTCTATCATTGCAAGCTCACCGTTAGTCTCGCTTCAATGCAAAGGCACGGCTACCTTTCAAGATGGTGGAGGGAACTGTGAAGGAGACTTTTATAGACATACGACTAAACACTAATTGAATAAACACGAATTGATTAAGGTGTTTATGGTTTCGCCAACTATAATAAAAAGTGTAAATTAAAGTTGAAAGCCGATAAGTGCTACTGAATCCATAAAATTGTGGATCCCTTGCACCAATCAGGACGGTATATATATCGAATATACGAAGATACTTACACATCGCTTTTAGTAGAAAAGTTCATGTTTTTTATACTCTCAGGAGCCATCCACCTCAAACACACATCGTCCTAAAAACAGCCAAGGAAAGATGTTGAATTCCAAGTCTAGTCTCACCCTTCCCACCGTCAGACTTATGCATACTAGTCTACTATGTCTTTCTATCTAAGCCACCTCCCCACTTTTAGGGTACTTTGCGGTGATGGTATTGTGTCAATGAACTACTTTGACGACACTGCGGCCACCTTGGATCGCAAGAAATTATAAGGCGTCCAGCCAGCTTTGTTGCAGTAATCATTGTTTTGTCCATTATTATCCAATAAATGCTAAATGAGCAAAACTAATTGCTAACAGAACTAATCAACCAATCAAATTTGACCGGAAGGGGTTTCCTGTTACCTTGGTTACTTTGGAGTCACGTGGTGTCCCAATACTTGCGATTTTAACGGTGCCGTTCTTACCAAGATAAAGATTTCTTGCCGCTAGATTACCATGAACACACTGTAAATAACCACAGACAGGATCAATGTAAATTCGTGGCTCATACGGAGCGAGAGAGGTGTCGTGTTATCCTCGTAAATCAAGGACAATTTACAAAGGTCGTACCTTTTGATCAGCGAGCCATCTCATGCCGATACCCACGTCCATAGCTATTCTAAGCCGCTCTGCCTTGGGTAGAGAACATCTTTTGTTCTCACATCTATTGGCATTACTGTCTACAGTCGTCTGGTGACTTTGCAGATATCGCAATAGATTACCATTCTGTGGGCGTTCAAAAACCAACTGCAAAGGTCCTGACACAATAAAACAACACTCACCGTAAACGTACCGTAAACTTAGGGTCCATTTCCGGGTCAGCAGTTTATTAAAATGGCTTGTCATTGGTTGAGAATATGCGCATGTCTGTAAGGGTGCACGAAAGAATTTCCAGTATCCTGTCCAGCGGTTTACTGAAAATCGAATGCCATTGGCYGAAAACGTCACACCATTGCGCATGTCCGTAAGGTGCACGAAAAAAACATAGGTATCCTGGTCAGCGGTTTGCTGATTGAAATCGCATGTCATTGGCTGAAAACATCACGAAATTGCGCATGTCGTTGAGGGTGTACGAAAGAATTCACTGTTTTCTCTTCAGCGGTTTCATTAAAAGATATTTTATTTCGTCATTACCAGAAATTCCAACGGTCAGGACGCCAGGAATTTCGAGTAACATTGGCACCTTATAGTGGGTAGGAATCGGTTGCGGTCTCTCTGGTATATATGCGGTAGACTTACCCCTAAATGTACAAGCACCAATCAGAGACAGGATATTTGGATGCTTGTCCAGACGAGAAACTGTCATGAGTTCGTTTTTTAAATTCGCAGAATAACTACTATAATTTGGATCTTGAAAAATAAAGGAACATTGTTTGGTTAGTTAGTTTTATCACGCACTCAAACTAATTGTTTTGCTTTGTTTTGTTGTTGTTGTTGTTGTTGTTGGTCGTTGCGTTAATGTTGTTTTAGATTAAGATAACCAGAGACCATACTTCCATGCTGAATCCTCGTATGGTAGCGCAAAGCATTTACGGCTAAACTATTATTATAATTCCGAAAATAGATATCATATACAGAAGACTGAATTTGCGTCCGTTCATTGTGTGTTTGAGCTCTTGATAACGAATTTCTCGCCCCAGGGTTTCTCAACCGTGACGTCATTATTTTGTCGTCGTCGTGTGTTTCGTCGTCGTGTGTTCGTCGTCGTGTGTTCGTCGTCGTGTGTTCGTCGTCGTGTGTTCGTCGTCGTGTGTTCGTCGTCGTGTGTTCGTCGTCGT